CCTTGCAAAGTCCTCATACATATATTATGCCATTTGAGCCTCTTGATATCCATAGTAAAGAAGTGAGTCAGGCATTATGTTCCCTGTTTACAGATAAGTAAACTGAGGTCCAATGAGGGGAAGTGTCTTTTCTGGGACCCTAAACCACAGCTATTGCTTCTAAGATCACAGGAGTATAAATTGAGAGCTGGAAAGGACTTGAAAGTACATGTCATCCAACTTCCCCACTTTATAAATAAAGAAACTCTTTAAGTGATTTTCCCAGCTAGAAAATGGCTGAGCTGAAATTTGAATTCAGGTCCCATAATTCTAAGGTCAGATCCCTTTCCAGTGCCCCATGACCCTCAACCAGTGCTCTTCCCACAAACCCAAACAATCTCCTTCTTTCTCCCTGATATTCCTGGGTGACATCCCCACATGTGTGGAACCTGCCTATGGTTACCCTCTTTTCTTTCCTAAGCCCCTGGAAAAGGGCAGCAAGGAAGTGCTTGTTTAATATATTATATTTATATAAGGCAGTAGTTGTTAGCCTGGGAGTCTAGAATAAGATCCAGGATTGGCAGCTACTCACACAAAGGTCCAATGGAAGGTCATAGGCTAAGCATTGGCAAAAGTCAGTGGTTCAGAGCCTGAGGTTCAGAGCTGCTAGGAGGAGACATCTCGAGGCTCCACTCACCACAAATCCCTCTGAAGTACCTGTCTGCCATCTCTCTCCTGTCTTTTTTGAGGAGGCAGATAGGAGAGGAACTGATCCTACAGACAGCAAATGTCTCACAAAAAAGGGAATTGGCTTTCCTTTATTCTTGGACCCAGAGCTGAGGAAATGCTTCATTAGGCAGAAGTGGTGGCTGGCTGGCTTTCTGTTCGAGTAATTGGAAACATAAAAGAAAAGAGAAAGAATCAGAGGAATGGAAGAAGCCAGAGAGGTAAGTGGGACTAGCCAATGGAACAGGCTATGATTGTGGTGCTATCGAGGAAGGACCACTGGATTTAAAGTTGGGAGAGCTAGGTATGACTCAAGGCTCTATTATTTATGACCTGCCTAAGTGTGTTTGGTAGGTGGTTTCTGCTTTTTCAGCCTAAGGTTCTTCTCCTGTAAAATGAGAATACTAGCCTGAGTCTGGGGTTCTTAACCCTTTTTTGTATCCTGAATCTCCTTGCAGTCTGGTGAAGCCTATGAGCCCCTTCTCAGAATAATGATTTTAAATGCACAAACAAAAATATGTGGGATTAAAAGGAAGCCAATTATATGAAATAGAGTTGCCAAAATATTAGAAAGAACAAGTTATCTGTGAGAGCCTCTTGACTAAACGACCTTCCAGATACTTCCTAGTCCTGGAATTCTGGGTCTTAAGGTTCCTTCTAGCTCTAATGATTCTAGGATGAGAGGACATGACTCGAGGGGTAATGGCTAGGACACTGCAGGGACACCATATGCACAGGACCTAATGAAGCCCGAATAGGAAGCAGCATGGTGTATGGAGTCAGAGGATCTGGGTTCAAATCCTAGTTCTTCCCCTTATTACTTCTGTGACCTTGTGCAAGTCTTTTCTCTCTGGGTCTCAGCTTAGTCATCTATAAAATGAAGATGATGGACCAGATGACTCCTGAGCATCCTCTGACCTCTAGAGCTATGATGTTGCTTGGGTTAGATTGGGCCTCCTTAGCTAAGTACATTTAGACCTCTGAAGTGCTGCATTCTGTGGTGAGACCCTTAGCTGGTGTTCATCTCCCTCCTTGGGGTGGGGCTGGGGGTAGCATTTTCCTAGAAGAATGGAAGCTTTTTTTGAAAAACAAGACAAAACAAAAATGTTACCCTTACTTTTCCAATTTACAGTATAGTAATTACCACACATATTACTGAATTACAGAATCATGGAGTTTCAGAGTTGGAAAGGACCTCAGCAGCTATGTAGGTAAACCCATACTTGAAAGGAATCCCATTATAACTAGCACCTCTCCAGGCAATCCATTCCACTTTGAGACAGCACTGATTGTTAGAAGGCTTTTCTTGACAGCCAGTCCAAATTGCCCTCTTTGCCTCTATTTTCCAGGCTTTGACCCTGGTTCTGTTCCCTGGGGCCACACCAGACATGTCTTAGGTCCTCTTCCACATGGTAGCCCTTCAGATATCATGTCCCCTCCCTGCTCCCCTCCACCCCTCTCTGCCCTAGGCTAAACATCCCCAGTTCCTTCAACCCATCCACATATGGCATGGTCTCAAGGCCCTTTACCCTCCTGATAGCCCTCCTGTGGGCATTCTCCCTCTTATCAATGTCCTTCCTCAATGATGATGCCTAGAATGGAACACTATGGTCTGACCATGATCGCAACATTATCGCTTCCTTATTCCTGGAAACTCTGTCTTTCTTCTTAATATGGCCCAAGATCACATTAGCCTTTTTTGACTGATTCCTATTGAGATTGTAATCCATTCAGGCTCCCAGATCTTTTTCCTGAGAAAGAACTGTCTAACCATTGCCTCCACCATCTTGGTTTTTTTTTTTTTTTGCAACATCATTCTCTTGGTCCAAGTAGAAGATTTCGCATTTCTCTCTATTAAAATTAAATTCATTTCAGTCCAATGCTCTGGGCTTGCCCAGATCTTGCCCCTGTCATCCTATGTGTTTGCTGTTCCTCTTGGTATCGTCAGCCAATCTGCTAAGAATCACACTCAGACTCTGAAAGGCTGGCATCTGGAAGGGGGAGGTTCTGTTGGGGGTGAAACTCTAGCCAAAGCTGAGGAGGAAACCACTGTCTTGCAGGACGAGGTTGGCTTTACGTGACCATATCTGTCTCTAGGGTATGATTCAGGGTGTTCACCCACCCCTAAATCCTTAAACTCACCCATTATGTTGCCTAAAATATTACCATTAGAGAACCAAAGAATTGTCTTCCTTATTGCAATGGCAACACTGTATGGATTATCTTCAAGGCAGTGCGCCACTGTTGGCGTCAGTTTCTTCATCTGTAAAATGGGAAGAATTATACTTTCACTCTCTACATGACTGGTTATTGAGGATTCATGGATGGAAGCGACCTTAGTGACCATAGGGTCACAGGACCAGAGGGTTGGAGTTGGAAGTTACCTCAGCAGTCATGAAGATAAGGAAAGCGAGGCTTAGAGATATTAAGACACTTGTCCAAGTCACAAAGGCAGAGCTATCATTTAAATGAAGATCCTCTAATTTCAGATCTTGTCTTTGAGATCATCTAGTGACACCCATTCATTTTACAGATGAGGAAACTGAGGTCCAGAAAAAGGAAAGTGACTTGCCCAAAGTCACCTAACTGGTATCTTTTTGGGTCTGAACCCAGTTTCCCTGCCTCAAAGTCCAGTGCTCTCTTTCCTACAACAATCTGTGAGCAGCTGCTTCCTAAGTCTTAATGCTCTATAGAAATGTGATCTCTTATTCTGATGAGGTGATTAACATTTTAGAGTAAATGAATTTATCAAGGCTCCTTTCAAATGCTGCCTCCTCCCAAAGCCCTCCTTGCTCCCAACTGGCGGCTCTATCTCCTTCTTCTGAGCATGCCCCAAAGAATCATGTTAGTACTTGTCCTATGGTCTTGTATTGAGGCAGCTAGATTTCAAAGTAGGTAAAGCACTGGACCTAGACTCAGGAAGACCTGAGTTCAAATATGGCCTCGGATACTTATTAGTTAGGGCACCCTGGGCAAGCCTAACTCAGTTTTCTCTCCTATAAAATGGGGATAATAAAAACACCTGTGTCCCACAGTTGTTGTGAGGATCAAATGTTACACGTGTGCAATGTATATTACATATGCACATATACATATGTTCATTCATGCCCACACGCACACATATATGCATGCATACTTATACACAGATGTATCTATAAACAGATTACTTTGCAGACTTACAAAGGCAGTGACCATGTCCTACTCATCTTCAAATCTCTGCCTCCAATTACTCATTCTCCTTCCCTCGCATTTGCTGCCGGTCACAAGGCTTTGGTCAAAGCCTCAATAAAGGCTTGTTGATTTGAATTGCTGAATTGAATTCCATTAATTAGAATCTTCCTCAGGCCACAGCTAACTAAGAGCAGGTGTGGGGTCAGGGGTGTGTGTGTGTGTGTGTGTGTGTGTGTGTGTGTGTGTGTGTGTGTGTGTGTGTGTGTGTGTGTGTGTGTGTGAAGGGTCACAGGAAAAGGGGTAGATGCTGTTTCCTTCTAGTCGAGGCAAGATGCCCAGTGTCAGGACTAGAACTTGACCTTTTTGAGGATTTATCCCCTACCTTAGGATATTTCTGCTCTACTCCCAGATTCTTCCTGAAAACCAAAAAGAGTCATAAAGCATCAGAGCTGGGAAGGACCTTAGAACATGCAGTGTCAGAGTCAGAAGATATCTTAGAACACAGAATGTCAGAGCTGGGAGGGCCCTTAGAACACAGGATGTCAGAGCTGGAAGGGCCCTTAGAACACAGGATGTCAGAGCTGGGAGGACCCCTAGAACACAGGATGTCAGAGCTGGGAAAAAAAGAACTTAGAATACAGCCTGTCAGAGCTAGAAGGAGGATTTGGAGGTACTGTAGTACAATCCACTCACTTTCCACATGAGGAAAGAGAGGCTGAGAGCTCAGGAAGGACTTGTCCAAGTTCTTACAGCGAGTTCAGGTCCCCCTCCTCTGATCTTCCCTACCTTCACTCTCCTCTCTGAGAGACTGAGTGCTCTAGTGCTTGTCCAGGAAGAAACCCTTGGGTCACCTCCAGTGTTCTTTGCTTTGCTTTAGAAAATAAGGATCTGCCCCAGGCTCAGTAGAGATGCCTTGAGCGTTCCCAGCCTGGCTCAGCAGGCCTGGCTCTAGACTCCAGTGATCCTGATCTCACTTCCATATTTCTACATTTTCTTGCCTCCAGATCTTATCCACCATGTTCATGACCCTACCTGGTAATCTGACCCTTACTCCACTCTATGCCCCCTGCACCGTGTCTCAAATTGGAAAGGTCTGAGAGACCTGTTCCCTGACATGGCCTTACCAAGTGTGACCTCAGCCTGCATGGGCATGGAGAGAGCCGGGTGCTTGACCTCACAGCTGAAGAGGGCCTCATTGTCCACCTGAGGGTTGAGGGTCCAGGTGAGCAGGGCACGCACCTCCACAGTGCCATCGCTGCCTGGGGCGCGGCTATGACGCAGGAAATAGACAGGCTCTGCACTGTGGACCCAGCGGGGGAACTCCCGGCTCACCACAGTCTCTGGGATGTTCTCAGTTGTAGGTTGGAGGACAAGGCTTGGGTCTGGGGTCAGGCCCCGGAAGGGCCCCTCGGTGTAGGGATGCCCACCCCTGCCCTCGGCATCCAGCAGGGAGAGGGATTTCTGCATCTTAGTGTCATCCAGGTCACGGTGCAGCAGGCTACGAAATGCCCGGCCATCCTGGAGGGCGGATGTCCCCACTGCGGGTTCCGACAGGGACACCGCTTCTATGGGCTCTCCGTCTCGCTTAAAGTAAACCTGAAATGGGAGGGAAAAAATGATCAGATAAGGGGTGAACTCTTGTTTACCTCTAGTGGTTGGCTCTGAATGATGCTGCTCAAGACTCACTCCCTACAGGAAGCCTTCCTAGAATGCCTTTGTCTATCCTATTCCCTCCCCGCAGACTCCTACCACTCGCATGTGTCCATATGTATCTTCAACTCTTAATTTTCCACTCTTGGGGCATTTATTGTCTGGCTTCTCTGTAGCAAAGGTACCATCCTAAACTACCTTCTCCACCATAATCAGTAACCTCGAGTATCATCTGTTTTCTCTGCTCCAAACAAATCACCAGGCCATTGCTATTTTGGGTTATTCATGCTATTGTTTCTCAGGCTTGGCCCCAGAAAACCAGGAGGAAGCTAGAGTTTTATCCTGTAAATATGTTCTAGAAAAAGTGCACTGGAACTCGTGTTTTTGCATATCAAATCCTATCTCGAATGCACCGGGGGGGGGAGGGGGGGGTGGGGGAGAGTGTGACTGATTAAAGGACTCCCAGGGTGAGTCTGTTTCTGATGGGAGGAACTGTCTTCCAATTCGTCTGTTGCATAAAATCTGCTTTTCTTATACGGAGGCTGTTTAATGGGAGGTGTACAATTATAGCTACAGGTGAATCATGTTTAAATGTCTCTTTGGGTTGGGTATTTCTCTTGCTTCCTCCTTTAGGCTGGGAGCTGTCTAAGGGGTGACGCCATGTCTCTCTAATAGCAACTTGAGTCCAGGGTCTGCGACATTTCCATTAAGTTGGGGGCCCCCTCCCTGAGGTCTGGGGCTATGTCTTGCTTATTAGGCCTGGAGCTTTTTGAAGGCAAGGACTCTTTCTTTCCTGGAGCTGGGGAGCTGGCTCCCTGAGGGCAGGAACTGCAGCTTCCCCATCAGAATAGAAGCTACCTGAGGGCAGGAACTCAAGAGTTATAGGACCTGGGTTTAAATCTCACCTCAGAAGCTTACTTCTTGTGTGACCTTCCATGGGTCTTCAGGTTCTTCATCTATAAAAGGAGGTTAGACTAGCTAGCTTGTGAGGCCCTTTCCAGTTCTAAATGTAGCCTCTCTTATGACTCCCATGATCCTTATAACTCTCCCTCATCAAGTTGGAAGTTGGCTTCCTGGGACTAGGGACTAACTGTGTCTTCCCTATTAGACTAGGTGTTTCCCAGAGGCAGGGATTAACAGACAAGGGTGCTTTCTGGAGGCACAGATCATGCATTCTTCCAAAGGAGGCTTTGCCCCATAGTGTTAGCCTTAGACTCTGGATATAGCCAAAGTACCCTGCATGGGAGGTGACCCTTACTTGAACACCTTGGCGGCTTCTTGGGAAGGGACTTGGTTTCGAAGCAGGCGGATGGGAGCCATTGAGAAGGTAGATATGGAGAGGAAATTAGGAGGATATTGGGAGAAGAAATGGGAGAAAATTGTGTGTGTGTGTGTGTGTGTGTGTGTGTGTGTGTGTGTGTGTGCGTGCGTGTGCGTGCGTGTCTAAAGTCTGAACAGGTGTGCTTGTGTGGGAGGGAGATAGGTGTGCAGCTCTGGAGAAAGAAAATTGTCCTCTAGCTTTCTCTCCTAATGGGAGATTCAAGTTTTGAGCTGTGGAATTTAATTTAATCTGTTGTTTTATATTTTGGTACATGCGCTCAGAAGCCTATGGGAAATGGGTGTTTCTTTAATAAATCGAATAAATAAATCGATGGGAGCTGAGGAGGGGGTGGTGTACATGTGGAAAGCATCTCTGAGGGAAGCTGGGTCCCAGGAGAGGGAAGAGAGGAAGAAAGAGAGAAGAGGGAGACAATGGGAATGAAAGAACGCAGAATTAGAGAGGGGGAGGGGTGTGTGTGTGTTGCTGGGGGGCGGGTGGAATCAAATACAGGAGAAGCCAATCTGTCAGGGTTTAAAGCCTCCAAAAATGAATGTCGCTTCCACATAAAGGGCTGCTTTGGGTTTTTTGAAAAGTGCTTCAAAAGCCGGATTGTAATTTATATCAAAGGATTCCTCTGAGCTTCCAACATCCCAGGCAGATGCAAGGAGCTGGCAGAATATGGGGGGCTGAGAAGCATTTTTTTAAAAAGGGGGAATATTTGATTGTGTGAAACCTTAGAGGCCTGACCTGCTGAAAGGTTTCAAGGGCCCTGAGGCACCGTTGGCAGCAGCAGTGGGAATGAGGCAGGGAGGGAGGACATCAGACATGGGCCAGCAGCATCCTGGAGGGCACCTACCAGGATACCCTCAGAGGACAGCAGGCATCTTCTGCCAGCCCTTTGTCACCATCTGCTTATGTTGGGGGGGGGGAAGCAGGAGGAATAGAGCGAGGGGAGTGGGAGGAGGGGCTCCTTTTCTACCCCAATCTTCTCTGGGGTCTAGGAGCTCCCACAGAGCTTTTTATCCTGTTCTTCCCATTGTATCTGGGGAGGGAACATGGGTTTCGGGGGGAGTCGATACAGATTTTTAAATCAAGGAGCCCTTGTGGTTTCTGCGGCAAAGCCCACAGGCCAGGTACTTGGGGAATCGCCAGAGGATGAAGAGCGGACAAGACCTTAGAGTCTACCTCTTCTCATTACATAGAAGAGACTGGCACCCAAAGGGGGTGTGACTTGCCCAAGCTTCCAAAGATAGCAAATGGTACGCTGTGGAGTTTAAAGGCTGGTCAAAGACTCATAGCTGGAGACCTGGAAAGGACCTTGGAAGCAATTTAACCCAGCCTCCTGATTTTACAGATGAAGACTCAGGGCTGAGGAAATGACCTAAAGTCACTTAGGAAGCAAATATCGGAGAGAGGCCTTGAATCCAGGTTATGATTCCAAATCCAGGGCCCTTTCCATCATACCTTACTGTTTTTTTCCTCTGTAGTAAGAGGAAAAGAAGCACAGGGAGAAAGTTTCAAGTCAAATTGCTTCCTGTTTCCTGCCTGCCTCTTCCACCCTGCCCCTTCTCCCAAATCACCCCAGATGAGCCCCTTTCAACCACCCACTCTGCCAACCACACTCAAATTGTCCCTTCAAATAGCCATGACAATGAGTATTGGGAAAAAATGTCAAGGCTTCAAGGATATTAGGGTGACCCTAAAAGAAATCAGTTAGATTATAATTACTTTCCCTTTTCTTTTCTTTTTAAAAAAATTTTTTTCTGAGCCTCAGGATCTGGAAGGAGTCCATGTTCTTTTAGCCTTGGGAGACTGGAGGAGAAGGAAGCTGGGAGGGCTAGAGGGAAAGATGGGTCAGGACAGTGCAGACAGGTAAGACCAAAAGATATCGTGGATGGCTCATAAAACCAGAGGCTCAAGAATTGGTAAGGACTTTAGAAATGATCCCATCTTACTCTTTTGTTTTGTTGATCGGGAAATTGAGTGTCAAAGAGGGTAAGGGATTTTTCCAAGGTCATACAGGTAGGGAAAAGGCACAGCTGTCCTTCAGACTCAGCAACTTAGACTCTTAAGAGGTGATTTCAGCCTGGCTGGCAGCCAGTTGTCCTTCCTGGTGCGTTCCCATTCCCAGTTGAACCTTCATTTGCAATGTCCAGGGACTGGGGTGACTATACTTGAGCAGATCAAAGGAGAGGAAGGTGGGGTGCTGGGGCCCTTGGGTTACTCACCACAGGGGCCGGCTTCCCTCCTGACACGATGCAGACCAGGGTGAAGTTCTGAGCCTGGTAGCGGCTGAATGGGGCAGGTGTGTCAGCAGCGACGACAGCAATGGAAGTGGGAGGAGCTGGCAGGGAGGCAGATGCAGGTAGACGTTTAGAGACAGCGTATACCAATTTCAGGGGCTTCCATTTCACCACTGGACGGTCATTGAGTCAGCCTCCCCTGTCCAATTCCCACCCAGAGCCCCTCCAGAAAGCCTTCTGGGAGAGTCAGCAAGGAGCATCCCACCCAAGGCCCACGTACTCATGTAACACTTTACTTTGTACCTCCTTGGTGAACTTGCTGTGTGATGTTAAATGTTCTAGCATCTTAGGACTGGACCTTGAGGAGGTCCGTAGTCATCTACGGGATCGTAGTGTAGCCAGGCTGCAGAGAGTGGCTGCAGAGACTTAGGGGAATTGGAGCCCAAAGGACATTATGGTTTCTCCTCATTTGGAGGCGAGGCGGGAAATCCCTGTCATCATCCACAGTTTATAATCCTTTCCCTCCATGCAAGAGGAACCCACATTGTCCCTTTGGGCTACAATTCCCCTAAGTCCATGCAGCTACCCTCTGGAAACTTGTGCCAATAGGAGGATTGTAGATTTAGAGCAGAGCAGCTAGGTGACACAGTGGATGGAGCACCAGGTCTGGAGTCAGGAAGGCCTGAGTGCAAATCCTGTCTCAGACACTTCTTAGCAAGTCAGTTAACCTTGTTTGCCTCAGTTTCCTCATCTGTAAAATGAGCTGGAGAAGGAAATGGCAAACTACTGCAGTATCTCTGCCATGAAAATTCCAAAAGGGGTCACAGAGAGTCAGACAAAACTGAAACAGCTGAACAATATTTAGGGCTAGGACCTCAGCAGCCCCCTTGTTTTGCAGGGGAGACACCTGAAGCTGAGAGAGGTTAAATAGCTTTCCCTAGGTCACAGGTTGTAAATGACACAGGTAGGATCTGAACCAGGTCCTCAGACTCCAAACAAAGTCGGTCTTCTTCCCTCTGTATTGTCCTGCCTTAAATCCACTTTTATTTCTCATCTCCCTACTAAGGCAGGGAGCAGTTTAATCCAACTCTATTTTTAAAAGGAAGCACAGAGCTCCATAAAGGAAGTAGATGCCTGTGAGATGATTTGTTGAGTGAGTCATCAAACAGTCAATATTAAACAAACATTGATTAAGTGGAGAATCCTGTGTTCCAATAGTTACTATGACTTTATTTTCAACAAAGATTTTTGCAACATCTATCCATTTCTCCCGATTCTACCGTTGGGCCCAAGGAAAACAAGGTTAATCCTTTATCCTCACGGATAGCTGTCCAGTAATTGAGAAGACCTATCATCTTTCTCCTCCCACGCCCTTTCCAGTCTTCTCTAAACTCAACAGCCCCAGCTCATTAGGTGGGTCCTCATACGGGCTGTAACTGAGAACTCCTGTATATTCTGCTCAACTATAAACAAACCAAGGGGAAGGATGGGCCAGGTGGGCCACGGTGGCTTGAAGTCCCTTCTAGCTCTAAACTATGACCCTGCGGGCCCTTTGCCATCTTGGTTGATCATGCCAATGTGATGACGACAATGGAAATAGGAGGTGACACCTGGGAGACAAATGTGGGGAGGGAGGCAGAGCCAGGAGGCCTTAGATTCCCCAGCCAATGGAGAGTTCTCCTTCACCTGTTGAAATCCTACTTAATTCAAGCCCGAATTTAGGCATAGACCCTGGTAATATAGAGAAAGACCCACTGAGCAGGTGGTAGGTATCCATTCCACTGCAGGCCAATGATGATGATGATGATGATGACAATGACATTGATGATGATAATGATGATGATGATGATGATGATGATGATGATGATGATGAAACTAGCTAGCAATTTGATAACAATTTAAGGTTTACAAAATGCTTTATATATTATATCATTTCACCCCCGTGACACCTCTTTGAGGAAAGTCATTATTATCTTCATTTTACAGATCAGGAAACTGAGGCCAAGAGAAGACAGAATAAATGACCTGCCCAGGGGACTGTAGCATAGTCCCTTCTTTGCCACATCCAAAAGCTGCTGGTATCAGGATAAGGAGTGCTTTCATCCCTGTTCCTTCTCTGGGATATCCTTAACCCCAAAGGGAGAGAAATGAGACTCATAGCCTTTCCAAACTGGGATAAAAGGGACTGGAGTCTTGGCAGCCCAACAGTGAAAGGTTGCCAATGACTAGCCTTATTAGGGCAGACAGAAAATCCCACATGGGAGCTCTAGGTTGGCTTACACCTTTCTCTAGTTGAGGGGAAGGTCCTATGTTACAGTCTCTTGGTGTGACAGGAATTCCGAGAAGGGACAGATAACTCTATGTAATGAGTCACACTTTACTTATCTTCGGATCCTTTCCCTGGTGATTTTGTCTATCAGGAGGGAATATAGCCAAGAAGTAGCATGAAGGCAAAAAAAAAAGCCTCTAAGAAAACAAAGCAAATATGATGAAATTCAGACAACAAAGTTCATGCATTTTAGAGTCACTTAATAAATATTAAGAGCCCACTGTGTGCCAGGCACTGTGCTAAGGACTAAGAAACAAAGAAAGACAAAAGACAAGTCCCTGCTCTCAAGGAGCTCACAGTCTAATGAGGGAGAGCACACGAACGAATAAAGCATTTAAGTGCCTACTGTGTGCCAAGCACTGTGCTAAGGAATGGGGACATAAAGAAAGGTGAAGGACAATCCCTTCCCTCAAGTTGCTTATAATCTAATGAGGGAAGGCAGTACATAAAAAGAAGATGAAAAGGGGAGGGAAGGAGGAAGGGGAAGGAAGAGGTCCTGGGTGGGTGGGGGCATGATGAAGTCCTGCAGCCAGGTGGGAAATGATGAGGTGTCTGCCCTGGTCACCCTTCTTAAATGGAGGAGCTGGGGGGCAGCTAGGTGGCACAGTGGATAGAGCACCAGCCCTGAATTCAGGAGGACCTGATTTCAAATCCAGCCTCAGACCAAACACTTGACACTTACTAGCTGTGTGACCCTGGGCAAGTCACTTAACCCCAATTGCCTAAAAAATGGAGGATCTGGGAGGGGCTTTCTGGTGTCCACTCTCCACTCTCTCCAATCTGAGGAAGGGAGGGAATCCCAGGAGCAAGGTGGTGCAGAGAAAGTGGGAGTCTCAGGGTTGATTTGATCTTGCCAGAAGATGAGTTTGCATAACGCAGGCGCCCTTCTAAGCCTTCACTCCAGGTTTTTCTACTTTTAGTCTACACACGATTCTAACAAGTTTGCAGGCTGCCATGAATAGAGATCGTGGATAAAGAACAGACCACAGAGCCAGAAGGATCTGGGTTTAAGTTCCACGGCTGACACATACTGACTGTGTGGCCCTGGGTACGTTATTTAACCTCTCAGGGCTCTAAGGAAACTCCCTAAGACTTTAACTTTCAGAGAAGGTGCCAATCTGGTGTCAGTGGGCTGAGAACAGCGGGAAGAGGAGGCGATAGCTGGAAGACAGATGCAGGCTCAGAGTGAGTCTCAGCAATTCCAGGAGGCTTCAGATTCCCCCACCACTGGAGAGCCATTGGTTCTCCCTTAGGAGTTGAATTCCTACTTAATTAGAGACTGGGACTAGACACAGACCCTGCTATTCAGAGTCCAGGTTAACTCATCTCTTCACATGTGGATTCCCCAAACCCAATGAAGTCATGGGTCCAGGCCTGCAACGAGAGTATTTGTCTGCCAGCAACATTGACAGCAGGTCACAAGCGAAATATGGCGGTGACGAAGGTGGCAGGGAACAGGACATCAGGATCTAGTGAAACAGGGCTTCTGAGACATCAAAGCAGACACGGCAAAGCCCAGGTACAGAACTCAAGCCTTTATTCACTGGGGGAGCCCTTACAACCTTCACATCAGTACTGCTAGGAGGGCTGGTGGGAGCATCTCACTCACAAATACTTACATGGGAAGGCTGTATCAGTTTATTCTCATCAGTGTGTTTACTCTCTTCATTGACATAATCCCCACCCACTTATAATTTAGCAGAGCATGGTCATCGAGAGTGGCTGAAAAAAGTAGTCCCTATGGGGGTCAAATAATAATAGCATTTGTCTGGGGCTTTCATATTTGCAAAGCGCATTCCAAATGTTATCTCATCTGATGCCAGTGACAACCCGGAGAGGTTGGTGTCATTTTTGTCCCCACTGAGGTGAACAGGGGATAAGTGACTTGCTCAGGATCACACAGGAAGGGTCTAAGGCAGAGGTGGGGAACCTGCAACCTTGAGGCCGTGTGTGGCCTTCTAGGTCCTTGGATGTGGCCTTTTAACTGAATCCAAGTTTTACAGAACAAATCCTTTTATTAAAGGGATTTGTTCTGTGAAGTTTGGATTCAGTCAAAGGGCCACACTTGAAGACCTAGAGGGCCACACGTGGCCTTGAGGCCTCACATTCCTCACCCCTGGAAGGTCACGTTTGAACTCAGGTCTTCCTGACTCTGTGGCACAGTGGATAGTTCACTGGGTTGGGAATCAGGGAGACTCATCTTCCTGAAAATCCAGGATCAGATATTCACTAGCTGTGTGACCCTGGGCAAGTCATTTCACCCTGTTTGCCTCAGTTTCCTCATCAGTAAAATGAGCTGGAGAAGGAAATGGCAAACCACTCCAGCATCTTTGCCAAGAAAACCGTAAATGGGGCATGAAGAGTCTGTCGGGACTGAACAACAGCTTCCTGCCTCCAGGTGCGCTATGGTGTCACCTAGCTGCTTCTTTGAGCCTCAGTTTCCTCATCTGTTAAATGGGGGACAGTAATACCCATGGCACCCCTCTCACTGGGCTCTTCTGAAATGCAAATGAGGTAGTGTCTGAGAAGCACTAGATACAGCTCGGCTATTATCACGCTCCAATTTCTCTTCCCTCTCCCGACGTTCTGACGTCCTTTTCAGCTCTAAAAGTCTTTGAGGCTGCAACACATGTTCCTTCATTTCACTGTACATCTATATGACCACGCCCATGCACCTACATACGTAAATCCACGTTTGGGAGATCAGTAACCCAGTCACGCACGCCACCCACACGGACCCTGATCAGGAGCTGTTCCTGTCCCTCGTTAGAT